TTTCTTTTCCCATGCAAAAGATTAGAGCCTATTGGAGTTGGTTATTTCCTTTCCCCGGGCTCAGTTATGATCTGATAATACCCTAGCAGATTAGGCTCTGGTTAACTAAATTCTCCTGAGGGCAGGCCTGTTAAGAAGAACAGAGTGCTCTGGCATATTTCAAGATGGTTCCTTTTCCCCTCCCCCTGCCAGAAGTCCAAGGGATTTTTTTCTCTGCTATTTATTGAAAATCTGATCAAGCTCTCAGAGGTAAATGTGACAGAATTGTGGGGGCCTCCCTATTAATGGGTCCCCCTGGAGTTTTTAACTCTTATACTTATCCATCCTGAGCCTCCAAGCAATTCATCAATTATAATTCAGGTTTTCCTACCCTGACATTGAGTTCTTTGGTAGTTTCAGTGAGTGAGTCTCTGCTGTGGTGAGCTGTTACTCCCTAAATTAACTTCTAGGTTTCTCCAGTCTTGGAGATAGCAGTTTGCCTTGTGTCCTCACCTCTTATATGGATTCAAGATGTTCTTGTTCTTGTTGTTTTAGTCTGTTCAGGGTTTACTTGTTAGGATGAAACAGTGACTTTGGGAACTAGAAATTGGAATTACACCCTTAATTTTTCAAAGTTTGTTTAGAGTCAATATTGTACTTTCTCATGTAAAATGTAAGGACCTTGTCAATGTATAGTTCTTCTTATCCCTGCCCCTCTTTCATGTTACAGTTGTCAACTGTATTATGTCTATCTGCATTATTTACTGTACATTCCAATGTTATAACATTTTCTTTAAGTGCTCATGTATAGAGCAAATAAATTAAGATAAATTTTTTTATTTATCCACACATTGCCATTTTTAATGTTCTTCATTCCTTTCTGAATATCCAGATTTTCATCTGGTATTATTCCCCTTCAGACTTAAGAATTTCCCTTAATATTTCTGATACTATAAATATGCTGGTGACAAATTGTCCTAATGCTCATTTATCTGAAAATATCATTATTTTGCCTCTATTCATGAAGGATATTTTTGATGGATGTAAAATTCTGTATTGATAGATATTTTCTTCCATTTTATCACTTTAAAGATATCTTTTTTTTTTCTGATGAGAGGTTAACAGTCAATCGTATTGTTGTTCCTCAGTATGTTATTTTTTTCTGGATTGTCTCAAGATTTTCTCTTTATATTTGATTTTGAGTAGTGTGACTGATTTATCTGGGTGTGGTATCCTGCTCAGTGAGGGGCTTACTGAGTTCCTTGAATCTGTAAATTTACATTTCATTATATTTAGAAATATCTTAGGCATTATTTTTCAAATTTTTCCCCCTCTTCTTTTGTTCTTTGCCTTCTTGGACTCCAATTACATGTATGTAAGAACTTTGATATTATCCAACAGATCACGGAGGCTCTGTTAATCTTTTTCAATCTTTTCTTTCTCTGTACTTAAGATTGAATAATATTTATTAATTTGTCTTCAGGTTAACTTACTATTTATTCTCTCATTTCCACTCTGCTGTTAAGCCCACCCAGTGAATTTTATTTCAGATATTTTAATTTTCAGTTATAGAATTTACATCTGATTCTTTTTAATTGTTTCTATATCTCTGATATGATTTTCTATTTGTTCTTTTGTTAAAATGTATTTTCTTTTATGTCCATTAGTGTAGTTATGATGACTTAAAATTCTTTTCTGCTAATTCCAACATCTGGTCCTTCTTAGGACTATTGTATTTTCTCTTGAGTATAAATGACATTTTCCTGTTTCCTTGTGTGTTTTTTTCCCTAGTAATTTTGGAGTGTACCCTGAACTTTGTGCCTGATATATTGTAGGATCTCTATATTTCTTTATTTCTCTGTAAAGTTTTTTTTTTTTTCCCAGTAGGTAGTTAACTGAACTGAAACTCTAAACTCTCCCTGTGGTGGACAACACTGAAAACAGTTTAATTCTTTCAGCTTTTTTAGGCTCTTTGGATTCTGTCCCCACATGCATAATTTATGGTTCCACCAGAGATTTGGTTGGGAAATTTATACACAGAATTGGGGTCTCCCACGGTGTTGTTCTCTCAATTCATGAATTTCTCTCATCACACTCCAACTTCAGTGGTTATCTTGAATTTTGTGTTCTGGTTCCTCAAGCCACTAGGACTATGAGCAGTTGAATGGTAGCTGAATGGCACTGATTTGTGAGAGCCAACTGTGCACATCTCTTCCCAACTTCATGTTGATGGAATTGGCCATGGTGGGAATATTTACACTAAGGAAATTGGGAAATGTTATAAATCAGGCTTTTATTTTTTCCTGAAGAACCAGTTGTTAAACATTTAACAGCTGCAACACTTGTAGTTTCTGTAAGTTTTAGTTACTGTTTTGGCCTGGAGCCTGCCTCATGGAGCAAAAATTTCTTAGAAAATGCAAATTCACATGGTATTGTACCTTTCTTATGATTGTCAACCTTCCATCATCAACTCTTTCCCAATTTATGTCTACCTATGATCACTTTCCAATGCATTCAGATTGTTGTTTTGTTTATTTTTGTCCAGAGTTTATTGTTATTATCTGCTTGATAAAAACTGCTCCATCACTACTAGAAGTGGTCCTAGTAAAATTTTTTGGTGGTTTGCAGTGGATGGGGAATATTTATGAAAATGCTATTAATTTTACACAGAGCTAAAATTATGTGATTTAAATAATAGCTTTTATTATGAGATTATCTTCATCTAGCTTATTTTTATCAAAATATCTTTTCTTTAAAAATGATATCATAGATGGTTTATTTGTTTAGTATATTTATTTCACACAAAAAAAGTTGGCCACTGTAGTGGGTTGAATAGCATGTCCCCCAAATTTTTGTCCACCCAGAGTCTAAGGATTTGATCTTATTTGGACATGTGATCTTTGCAGAAGTAATTAAAGATCTCAAGATGAAATCATTCTGGATTTAGGGTGGACCTTAATCCAATGACTGGTTTATTTATAACAAAAAATATGGGGAAATCTGGTCATACAGAGACACAGAGGAGAAGACAATTAGAAGAATGAGGCAGAGATTAGAGTGATTCTTCTACAAGCCAAGGAATTTCAGGAGCTACCAGAAGCTGGAGTTAGCAAGGAAAAAGTCTCCTCTAGAGCCTTTGGGGGAAATGTGGCCCTGCCACCTCTTTGATGTCAGACTTCATGCCTCCAGAACTGTGAGACAAAAATTTTTTTTGTTGTTTTAAGCCACCAAATTTATTGTTATTTGTTATGGCAGACCTAGGAAATAACATAGCAGCCTTATGCCAGTTCATAGCATTTTTTTGCCATTTTGTTAATCCATCAAATCCAACAGACACTTATGCAAACAAATACACTTGCTTTATGTACAGCTTACATGTTGCTTTGGTGGACAAAAATACTGTATCTGGGACCAGCAGACTAGGTGCTTGATTTTGTCACTGATTCACTATGAGATTATATGAGCTATATTTTTTCCTGCGGGCCAGTTTCTGTTTCTGCATAATGAGTTGGTTATCTTTCTGGGTCCTTTTAACTCAGTGACTCTGAGCCTATGGATCCCTGTCTCTCTCTATACTCAGTATATGGGTATATGTTTTAGAAGAAGTATACAGTTGAAGTGGAGCACATGTTCCTCACTGGACAAGAGTAGAGTATTGGGAATTTTGGGTAGGGGGATAAAAATAACCCACTGTGGGAAAATTTTTAAATGCCTACCACGCCTCAGTCATTGTATGTACATTGAGGTTAGTACTTTTATGCTAATTATTATATGTAGGATAGGAGCAACTTTTTACACATATGCTCATTTTCATATTGCCCTTAAAACATTCAAAATGGAATGTCATGTTAGTGTGATTTGGGGTCCCATTTGGGGACCCATCTTGGGAGAACATTTGAAATTTGGCAGTGTATTTTTCACTATTAACAGATGTCTTCATCACTTGGGATTTTTCCCTTCTAAAGCCTAGATTGTTAGGTGTCAAAGCATCTTTCAAGATTATCTACATCTATCACCATTCATTTTACCATTGAAGATGAGAGCCAGATTAAACAAGTGACTTGTCAAAGATACAGTGGAGCAATTTTGAGAGGCAGGACTCAAACCTAAGTTCCTTTATTTTATTCTTAGCCTAGGTCTCCTTCTACCCTCTGTTCCATTGTTATTGTACTTTGCCCAGTTTTTTCCCCCAAAGGGAACACAATTCTTTTATATTTTGAGTTTACTAATCTCCTTCTCTTCTCTGTCCTATTCTCCCATGGGCAAACTCAGATGTGGGCTTACACACTTCCCTATACCTATATTCCCTTCTGAGGTTTTTGAAAGGAAAACATTGTGGTTCTGCTGCTTGTCTGTTTTGCCTGGAGGGAAGCTCCAACTGACAATTCTGAGCTGGGTTCACACTTCTACTTGGTTGGGGGTGGAGGTGGCAGTTAGGTCATTAGGGGATCAATGTGGCTGAACCCTTTCTTTTGAGTGGAGGGGGCATGACAACCTCTTTGATGTAATTTTGTTTAGCTGTTATTGTCCTCAGAGATGGAATGTGAACAGACAGGATTGTGAAACCTTTATTTGGAGTCTAAGCTAAGAAGGCACACCCATAGGGATATAAGGGAGACAGACCATTTATTTTCCGTTTTGGAGCAGCTAGCAAGCATTACACATCAGCATGGTAATCCATACTTCCTTTATCCTCCTATTCACTGCTCTTACCATTTTGTTCTCTTTCTCTTCCCCTTGGTTCCTCTGCTCCTACCCTTTCTTCTGAGCTTCCCTCTATTTTTTCTGCTGGAAACATTAAATAATAAAATACTACTTTAGTCTTTCTTGAAACAACCGCAGATCCAAAGCCTTGCAGCACTGTATTCGGAGCCCCGGCACAGCCGCGTGCTCAGCACTAGGCAATGGTGAATCTAAAGCCAGCAAAGGGGGAGGGGAGGAGGGAATAGAGAAGAGATAGGGAGAGGCGGGAGAAAGAGAGGGAGAGGGGGAGGAGAGGGAGGGAGAGCGTGAGCGCGCGCAAGCTAGCGAGCAAACCAGAGAGACGAGAGAGGGACCAGGAGAAAGACCCAGAGAAAGAGAAGAGGAAGCCGAGCTCCCTGAGGACTCAACCTCCAACTTGTTTCAATTCATTCATTCTTGTCTTCTCTCCGCTTCGGGGAAGTGATTGTGGCGCTTGGTAAGGAACACAGATGTCCCTCCTTCCCCTTCCCCCAAGCTCAGGTCTCCTTTAGCGATAGCATCTCTCCCCCGTACTGAGAGTCTCCTTGGGTTGGCCGGGGAGGCTGAGACATGCTCTGCAGCTGTGATGCTATCCTGGGTTCCCCAGTGGGGCTGGTGGAAGCCCAGAGTTGGCATCTGGGCAGGGAGGCACTGGGGTAAAACCTGATTTGGGGAGGGGGGTTGCGATGTGGTGTATGCGCGATTTGCTTCATTGTCAGTGAATTGTTTTGTTCCTTTTTGGAAACAGGTCAGCCTTGACCTTGCAAATTGCTTGGGGGGCCTGGCAGCTGCTGCAGAAAGCCACCCAGTGTCCCTTAGCCAGAGCAGACAGCACTGTCATGACCCCCCAGACAGCCCAAGGCACGGGGATGGGGTAATGGCTGGAGCTTCCTTCCTCCTTTAACTCTTTCTCTGCAGCTGTTTCTCATTGCTGGAATTGAGAAAGAGGGAGAATACCATGCAGCCCTTTTCTCCATCTCCCTATTACCTTTCGCAGATGCAAGTGAGTAGAAAGTTGTAAATAACTGCTTCCTTTGAAAGCAGGTTGAGACCTCCCCCCTTCCTTTAAGGGGTTCATTGTGGGGTTGGGCCTGAGTTCCTTAACAAACTTGGGAGGCTTTTCTTGCTTTCCAGTGGGGAGCCCCATTGCTTGCCGTCTCTCCATCCTAGGTAGTAAAGCAGACATGCCAGACCAGGGATTTAGATACCCTACCCCATCCCACTGGCAGGTATCATGGTATAAAGTCCAGCAGTGTCCTTGAGAGGGAAGAAACACCTGATGGTTTGTCTGGAATTGCCTTCCCAGTTTGCTGCTTCTCTAATTGTGGCTGAGGATGGCATAGGCAGGAGAACTGGGGGAGGGGTGGCTTTTGGATTTAGAGCAGGGTGAGAAGCCAGAATTCCTGGTGTGAAATGTATGGTTTATTGAGGATCAGCAGGTTCTGGATGTCTGGAGCTATGCAAGGACTGGCTGAAGGTCTTGTAATATATCCCCTCTGAAATGCTAGGAGAAGGGGTCTAGTTGCTTGATGGGAGCTTTTTCAGTTAGCAACACTGCCATGCCCATGGTAGCAATTATTACATCAACATACTAATTTCTAACATTGCTGAGTGCTTGGTATGTTTTGGATCTTAGGCTTAGGGTCTAATGTGTATTCTTATATCAACACTATGAAGCAGATACTACTATTATCCTTGGTTTACTGATGAGGAAACTGAAGCACAGGTTGAATAACGTGTCCAAGGTTACGGAGTAATTAAATGTCCCAGCTGGGGATTAAAACACAGGCAACCTGGTTCCAAAATGCTTGGTCTTGACCATTAAGCCCTACTGCCTCCTTGGGGAAAATTTTGCACCTTTGTCGGTTAGGCAAGTGGACGTGTGGTAGGAAGGGTACTGCTTGGCAGAAAAAAAAACAAAAGGAAAGTAGTAGCCTAACCTTTGTGTAGAGTAACAGGAACTTAGAGTGGGGCATAGTGGCTGGTCATTGTGGAACTCTCACCTGGGTTTCCTGGAGGAGCTGCCTAAGAGGTTTTCCTTGGCCAGCCTACTTTCCTTTGAAAAGGATACCTGGAAAGACTTCACTTTTCCACTGTTGTAGCCTCATCCATCTCACATTCAGCAAAAGACTGCTTTTTTCAGGACCAGATCTTGCCCTTATTTTCTGAGAGCTTAGAGTCACCTTGTCCTGAAATTTTTAGATTATTAAAACCTTGGAACTGGAAGATCATTAAGCTTGCTTCTCCACCAAGTTCTTGAATTTTTCCTAAGCATTCAATTCATTGACTTATTTCTATTTGATCTCCCTGCAGTGACAGAAAGCTCATTAGATGGCTTCTTTTTTATCTTTGAATAATTCTGATTGCCAGAATGTAGCTCCCATTATAAGCCAGGGTCTGTCTCCCTGTAACTTGTATTCATAGGTTCTTTGGGACTAGCTGCAACAAATTTGCTTCTTAGTTGAAGACAGCAATCATACCTCTTCCCTCAGGCCTCAGATCTGATAAGACTGCAACTAAAGGATCATCATTTGCCTCATTTTGGAAGCTAGACTTTTATTAATATGGCCCAGTATCCCATTCTCTTGTCAGCCACACAGTGAGAACACTGAGCTTTCTAAAGTAGCCTTGATAGTGTATGCCCTCTTCCTTGGAAAAGCTTGCTATTTGGTATCAAGTGGACTCATGGGAATAAAGAATCTCTCTTTTTTCCCTAAAGACCAAAAATCAGTTTAGTACTAGTCCTTCTGAAGCCCCAGAATGTCCAAATAGCAGCCAAACAATAGGCATATGGGAAGATTTGAGAACAGGGGTTAAGAGCAATTATCAAAAAGGAGACACTTGAAATAGTGGAGATTCAAGGTCCACACAATATATAGAAGGTAGAAGAATAAATTCTTGTATCAGAAAGTATTTCGGAAACAATGACATCACTGATGGAATCCCACAGAGTGGGATTGGGTGGAATAGGAGTGAGCATCTAGTGTTCTAAAACTGATCTGGGTGTTAGGAAACTTGAGTTCTATTCCTAGCTCTGCTAATTTGCCAATTACCTTGGACACATGAGTCCCTCTCCATGGACCTCAGTTTTTCCATCTAAAAATGATGAGGTGGATTGTATCACCAAAGGTCTTTCAGCTCTATACTTCTCTATCTGAAGTAAATTATAAAATGTCAGGGTTCTAAGGGCTTCAGAAATCATCCAGGGCAGTGTTTCTCAAACTTTTATGTGCAAATGAATCTCCTGCAGATCTTGTTAAAATGCTAATTCTAACTCAGAGGGTCTGGGGTACAACCTGAGATTTTCCATATTGACAAACTGCCATGTAAGCCTGAATCTGCTGTTCCAGTGGTTTTCAAACTACCTTGTTGAAAGACCAGTTTTTAAAAATTTTCCAATCCATGACAGACTGCTACTTTAGTAAAATACATTATGGGTTATTAGAATATGAAAGAAAAGAGAAACAAAATATAAGCTCACATTTTTATTAGTAGATTCAACAAACATAAGAATTATCTTTAAATTTCTATAATATTTTATAAGTACTTATTCTCAATTTCTGCACCTAGGTCATTGCTGCTTGGCAATAAAAGTTTGCAGACAGGCATTGATCGGCAGATCACACTTTGAACAGCACTGGTCTAGGCTACTGCTAATTTAAGAGGCCCAGAATGGGCCCAGTTATAATTTCTAAATCATTTTTGCCAAATTATTTTTCACCCTGAGGTTATGGGCCCAGCACGCTTCTGCTGTGTGACTCTGCTACCACTTTCACCCTCAGGTTAAATGTCTCCTTTGATGGAGAACTTAATATCCTTACAAAGTAGCATTACTTAGATGCTGTGACTGTCAAAAAGGATTTTTTTTTTAAAAAGCTTCCATAAATGCCACTCTGAGACTAAATATTCCAAGCAAGTAGAGGGCTGTGTCACTCCAGTTTATTGTACTATCAGCCACTAGCCTAGTGTGTGGTATAGAGTAGGTTTTTAATAAATGTTAAGTGGATGAGCAAGGTCTTGGTGTTAGTTATGCCTTTTGGAGCTATACATTCATTAAAGAAAGGAAATTTTGGTGTCCTTCCAGAACTGGGGAAACATTGTTTATCCTATTGTATACATTTCTAATGGTGGCTATAAGGCCAATTTACCTGGCATCCCAATTTTACTTTAAAGGAATTATATCAAGCCAGGCAAAGATTTTGTGCACTCTAAGTCCCAAGTCTTTACCTTTAAACCACTTGTTCATTAATTCAGTGGGTTCAACGGTTATTTGTTCAGTGATGTGATTAAGCACAATGCAGATGATACAAGGGTGAGAAAACAAACAAGGCCCTTGCTTACTTGGAGCTTACAGTTTGATGGTGAAGTAGCCATAAATCAGATACTCACACAACTGTTATTTCAGTTAGTAATAAATGCTATGAAGGAAAAGTATGAAGGTGGGGTTATGAAGGTATATAACAGAAAAAACTGATCTAGCTTGGGGTTTAAGAAAAGCTTCCTTGATGAAGTAATATTAAGGGTGTGTAGAAACATAGGGGTGGGTTGGGATTATGGGGTTGGAGCAGTTTTGTAGATGAAGAAAAGAACATGCATGAGAGCCCTGAGATGCATAGTGAATTTGACAAATTGAACAAAAGCTGGTGTGGTCGAAGTGGGACATTGTAAGGATTTTCCAGAAATGCAGGGACTGATTAAAGGCTTTTTAAGCAGGATGACTGATATAACCTTAACTGAATCCATTCAGTATAAGGTTACTAAGTGCTATGAACCAAAGGCAATGTGGGATACAGGCTGATTTAGGAATAGCCCTTGCCCTCCAAGATGACAGGGTCAAGTAAGAGAGAGAATAAATAAACAACTATAATACTAGGAGGATGAAATCCACACACATTAAAGAGAGGCAAAGGAGATCAAGGAGATCAAAGACACCTTCCCAGAAGTGGTGTTTGAATTGCACTTCAAAGATTAGGCAAACTTTGGAGATGCAGAGTTTGGGGGATGGGAAAGGTGTTCTAGGAAGATGCCAGAAAAGCAGAGGATATGTATTAGGAACAGTGAGGATCTCAGTTGTGTTGGAGTAAAACATATGGTAAAAGTATGTGAGAAGTAGTTGGCAACATCCGTAGAAAGCTTGACTGTAAATGATATTAAATGCTAGCTTGGAGAATTAGAACATTCTCCTATATGCAGTAGAGAGGCAACTCCCTCATTTTATGGATGAGCTAATTGATCTTGAGATGGGAGTGACTTGATTTGACTGAGGTCACACAGTCTAGCAAAATGTACTAGGTACAGTTGAAAGAAATGTGGAATTGGAGCTCTCAAAAGAAGTCAACTGTTTTGAGAGTCATTGATATAGAAGGAAATACTTGAAGTAGAAAGAAGAGATCCAGAGATCTCTTCTCAGGGTAATGCTTATGCTGTACGATATGGGAAAACAAAAATAAAACAACA